CCCTAAACTCTCTTTTATAATATAGTAGAAAATATGATAGTAAAATATGTATAATTATTTAATTTTTTGTATTCAAATATTTTAATCTTTTTCTCTATCTCATTTATTCTTATAGGGTTTTTTTGGAATTTGACCACCAAATAGATGCACCTAATCTAGGAAGATTAGAGTCAGCTGCCAACCCTAGAAGCTAACTTTGTTGTATTTTTTTGGGATAAGGGTTTGAAAAATATCTCAACTTTGGTCGAATTTGCTGTTGCGATACTAAATTTTCATAAGGACCTATTACCTCCCTAGACTATTTAATACCGTATTTTAAACATATATATTTGCCCACGTGGAACATAAAAAATAATAGCAAAATTATAAATAATAAATGTGTCCACGTGGGCACATATATACCTTTAAAATTACACTATTAAATAGTTCAGGGGGTAAAAAATACGGTATTAAATAGTCTAGGGAGGTAATAGGTCCTCGTGAAAGTTTAGTATCGCAACAACAAATCCGACCAAAGTTGGGGTATTTTTCAGAACCTTATCCCTATTTTTTTTAATTGGATTATATCACTACAACTAATAGGTCACAAAAATTATTAATTGGATTCAATTGCTACAATTCTATTGTCACTATTAGAGTTAGAGGATTAAATTTATTAAAAAAGATTCGTTTTGGTTTTCCACCCTGTTCGGAGTTTATATCAAAGCCTCGACTAAAATTTCTTAAGAACATAATAACACAAAATAGGTTAAGAACTATTTAGATCAAATCGAAAAATCAAATCAAATTGAACCAAATTTTAATTTGGATTGGTTTCCAATTAAGAATTTACTTTTTTTTTATTTGGTTTGCATTCAGAAAAATAAAAATCGATAAACCGAAAAAGTTGAATTATATAATAATAATAATTACGTATATAATATTTAAGTTTAGAATTAAAGTTAGAGTTAATCACTTTCATCTTTTTTTAGTTATTGCCTTTCATTATGAATTAATTTTTTATTTTATGCTTGGACATCTATTGATATATTTTTAGGTATTGTGTTTTAAATCTTTCTTAGATTTATATTGTAAAGTATATTTAAGAGATTCAATATTATTACATCTCCTGGTATATATATGTTTTTCAACTTGCAAATATAACTTTAATTATTTATTAATTAGTGACAATGAACGAATAATCGAACCGAAAAAAGAGAAAAATCAAAATAAATCAAATTTATTTTGGTTTTGATTAAATTACACCTTTTTCAAAATCAAAACCCGAAAAATATATCAACTAACACCTTAAGCATGTAAAAATAGTTAAAAGAAAGTACAAGTACTTTTCTTTATTAATTAATTACATTAAAAAATATATATTTTACTCAAGATAAAATAATCAAAATTCCAACGACTGAACAATTAATTTTGTTTTAATACTAGTTTATATGTTTATAGTTTCATAGTAATATTTAGGGATAAAGGTCTGAAAAATACCTCAACTTTGGTCGAATTTGTTGTTGCGATACTAAACTTTCGTGAGGACCTATTACCTCCCTAGACTATTTAATACCGTATTTTTTACCCCCTGAACTATTTAATAGTATATTTTAAAGATATATATGTGCCCACGTGGACACATTACTATTTATAATTTTGCATTATTTTTTATGTCCACGTGGGCAAATATATATGTTTAAAATACGGTATTAAATAGTCTAGGGAGGTAATAGGTCCTCATGAAAGTTTAGTATCGCAACAACAAATTCGACCAAAGTTAGGGTATTTTTCAGATCCTTATCCCTAATATTTATAAATTGTATATATAACTTTATAATTCAATAGGGTATTAAGTATTCAATATTTTTCTTATATCAAATTTTATAATATATACCAAATATCAATTTCGATATATATATATATATATATATATATCGTACCAGATCCACTCTTACTTACTAGCCAATGGATATAAATATTCCAACTAACCTGGAAGATTAGACCCAGCTGCCAACCCTAGAAGCTAACTTTGCTGTAATTTTTTAATTGGATTATATCACTACAACTAATAGGTGACAAAAATATTAATTGGATTCTATCATTACAATGAAATTATCACTATTAGAGCTAGAGGATTAAATTTCTTATGGATAGAGTAACATAAATAGGGATATACACTATTCAAATTAAATCGAAAAATCAAATCAAATTGAATTGAATTTTAATTTGAATTGATTTTTTGATTTGGTTTCAAATTATTTATTTTATTTATTTATTTATTTTATGTTTATTTTTTTCATTAACATAATTTTATTAGTATTATTTTAATTTTTAAATTGAACTAGAATTCATTGTTGAATAAGGTTATAGATTTACGTATTCCTTTTCTTTTAAATTATATTTATACGTTACGTTGAAATTTGACATAAGAGTATTATATTAAATATTTTGTTTTAAATTTAGAACTTATGTTATATTTTCAGTTTCATTTGTTTTAATAGTATTGACTTGATATTTCACATTACAAGCCATTCATATTTTAGTTAGAGTTGATATATTATCTTTTTGTCAAATATTTCATAATTTATGACATTATATTTATAATATTAATCTTTTTTTCAAACATACATTTTATAATGTTAACAGAAGTCTTGTACTTTTAATTGTTATTATTATTTAATTAAAATATACTAGTTTAAAAAATTATTTTCTTATAATATTAGTTAGAACATATGTTTGTTGATTAATATATTTTCAAAAAATAATATATATTTTAAATATTTAATTCAATATCATTTATAAGGTCTCTTATTTGTCTAATATAATTTTTTTAATTTTAGATAATTAACTTTTATTCTTATAATTGCAATTGTGTAACCAAACAATACATTTATAATTACACTATGACAAACAAATAGGTCAGTATAATTATCAGATTATGTAATTACTAGACTGATAATTACAAATCCTAATATTAATTTTTGAGACCGAAAGTGCAATCTATATATATGTGTGTGAAAAGTGCAATTGAGGGCACATTCAAAATTGTATCCTAATGAGCCATGCTATAAATTTACGCCCACCAATTCCACTAAACACAATGGGAAATGCTACATGTATCATTCTCACAACAACGATGACAGAAGATGAGGTAAAACTTCCAAACTTCGTTGCTCAATTACAGAAGGATAACCAACAACTTCGAGGGAAGTTAAAGGATATGAATAAAGATATGATACCCTTATATACACTTGAACTAGCTAAAAACGCGATGAACATAATAGAGAAGGATACATGTGATGTTTATCTTTGCTCAGGGATGAGCAATACTGGATTACATAAGATCGATTTCGGATGGGGTAGGCCTGTAAGAGTAACCCTAGCAACACATCCAATGAAGAACAACTTCATGTTCATGGATGAACCAAGTGGAGATGGGATAAATGTACTAATCACTTTAACAAAAGATGATATGTTGAATTTTCAGAACAACAAGGAGCTTCTACAGTTTGCTTCTCCAGTTGTTGAATCAACCAAATAAGTTTTATTAGTCTATGGTGTCAATATTGATACCTATAGACTTCTTTATTATTGTACTTTCAATATAGCAATAAATAAAAACTGTTTCTATATTATATATATTTATCATAAAGAAGTAGTTAAGCCCCTGGAGATAAAAGAGCAACTTAAACCAACTACAGTAAAAACCAAGAGGTATCTGTGACCAAATGTGTAATATATATATATTCAAAGGTTACAGAATTAGATGAATTGAAGTCATGTTGCACAATACAAGCAGAGCATGCATGACATCAAATATCGAATAACTATATGTTGCTACCAGAAACTTTCTGATCCTCGATACCAAGAGATAATCCTGATGTATGATTAAATTGGTCCCTCATCATAAAAACTGAATGTGGTTGCTGGTATGGTGGGCTCAAGCTTGATTCCAATATCTGATGTGGAAGTGCCACGTTGTCCACTCGTTGTTTCTTTGATGACCTCTCGCCATTAGGGCTCTCCATTAGCGAAGTTTCTTGGCAATCAGAGTCTGGACTGAGAGGAGAATGATGTGAGGAGAATGATTCATCCATAGAAAGGCTCTTGGTTGAGGTATGTGCTTTTACAGGCTTATCAACATGAGGAGACTCAGATGACGGTGCAGGAGTTCCTGGATCAGTCCTGTTATCAGATTCTGGGCCATTGTCACCAGTTGGAAGAGCAGTGACCCCAGAACCAGGAACTTCCGAAAGAACTCCACTCAGCCGCTGTTGCTCTTCGATTATCTTCTTCAAATACTTACCTTGAGCTTCTATTCTAAGTTGTAGCTGTTTCTGGACCTGTTAATGTAAGAAAAAAGGGGGTACTCACAAGCATAAAACTTCTGCAGCACTTCATTAACAGGAGTCCTTCATGCAGGATACTATGCTTGCCAAACTCGGGAGAAGTAAAGTAAAGATGAATTTAACTTAATCCAACTAAATTACGGTCCATTTCATAAAGAATGGTCAATTAATCATGTGCTTTTTGGTGAAACAATAGATAAATTCTGTCAGTGACTAGGAAATGTTCTTGAGCATAATGAAGCCAGTCTATAACGTATGAACACTTCATTTGTTAGCTGTGCCAATGCGTATGTCCAACGGTCTGCCTGAAAATGGTCAGACATATGGGAGTTTTGATCCTCTAACACGGAATATTGTTAACCTATGAAAAAGATAATCTTTCTGTTACATTTTTTGCATTATTCCTCTCATTTTGCATCATTTCTCTTCATAATAGCTTCGAACCATTGACCTAATGGAAGGCTTAGTCTCTACCATCTCAACCACTAGAAAATAAGGAAAGTTGATAAACTTTCTGCTACATTATTCCATTTCATTTACAATGCAAGGATGGTGTGTATCACGCTAGTGCAGTTGCTCTGCTTTCATGACTAGCATGGATATAAGCCCACTTTTAAGAGACGCGGCTTACTTACTGATGCATCTAAACTTTCTGATGACAAGTTACGTAAATGAAGAAAAAAGATTCTTGCAGGTCTTTGTTTAAGCGGTTTGTTGAAAAACAAAAGGTTAAAGCAAAAATTAGAAGTCGGTGGCTATCATTTGCTTATTATTTTTTGCAACTTTTAGAAGACAATTTTCCCATAGGACAAGAGAAGGACATTCTTGCTACACAAAGCAACAAAAATAAACTCTCGTCCACAATTGTTTACCTGTCAATTAAATGCTTCCTGGGGACCATAACTATACCAATTACCTAAAAATCATTAAAAGAACATACCTCCAGTTGCTCATGCAGTCTCTTTTGCACCTCCATCTGCAGCTTTAGAGCCGTAGTGATTTCCACTCCTCTGTTAACAAACAATTCTCTCTCAGGTCAAATATTTAAGATCCTTAAAAATAGAAACCACTTAGATTTTTTCAAACAAAAGACCGTCTAAATGGTCATGTTAAGAGTACAAGACAAGTTCAGATGCATTATCAGTTAGTGAGCATTAAAAAAAGATCTACAAAAGCAACAAGGAAAATCTACTCACGAAGAACCATCCAAACTTGAAAGCATATCTCTTGGTTCTTTCTTATCAGAGTTTTTCCCTTGCAATCACAAGACGAAGTCACATCAGTAAGTTAGCATTACTGGAGTAGAACCAACCTCAGCCACATTTTCAAATAATTAAGCTATGTTCTAAATATAAGGGGTACGCAACCATGAAGATTTTGAATTCCATCAGAACCTACCATCAGATGAGGAATCTGGAAGATATTTAGCAAGTCGATATTTCTGAATCAACAGGAAAATAAATGCAAGTCAGTTACAAGCACACATCCCCGAATAAAAAGATGTACAAACATGGTAAATGTATCTATACCTGTAAATGGCTTTTTACATGGTAAATTGTAAGCCCTTGTACACCCATGACTCTAAGAACGCCTTTCGGTGTAGCTCCTGAACCATAGAAAGGAATCTTAGAATTTTTTATCACAAAGGAAGGTAATTTATTGATGAAGAGTTCCAAGGAGGTACAGGAGAAGTACAAGAGGTCCTAACAGGACAGCAGTTACGGTATCAAGGCCCAAAAATCCAAAATATAGGCTGGATTTTCTAACATACTGCCCCTACACAACATGTAAACACAAGCAAATACAGGATAATTTTGTACACTCCTCAAAGAGTTATTACTCCTTCCGTCCTTTTCTTTTTGTAACACTGTTTGACTGGCATGGAGAATAAGATAGTTTGACTTATATACTATATAAGTAGTAGTTACAGTGGACTAAATGTTATATAACATCTGAGAATTTAGTTTGAACGAGAAATTATCAAAATTAAAGCTTAAATTTTGATAACTTAGATAAATATGAATTCTAGAAACTTGAAGTAGTTAGATAAAGTAGTAATACTTTCAGTTGAATAATCAGACGTTCTGGGACGTTCAGAAAAGGAAAAAGTGTAAACATTAATTAGGAAAAAAGAGTATTAATTATTACAGTTGTCAAATCTAGGTCATTTAATGATTAACTGATGGAAGACCACAGATTATATAAGCTTCTTCAGTTTCAAAAAAAAAGATCACAGATTATATAAGCTTCTTCAGTTTCAAAAAAAAAAAGATCACAGATTATATAAGCTTCTTCAGTTTCAAAAAAAAAGATCACAGATTATATAAGCTTCTTCAGTTTCAAAAAAAAAGATCACAGATTATATAAGCGTACAATTGAAACTTATAGCATCTTGCAAATTTACCATAGGTCGATTCTGTATCTCCAATTGAAAAGATTAAAATAAAGCTGCCATTTCCTTTTTTTCCCACTATGTTGCATAAAGCTATGGCTTGAGAAAATATATGAAAGGATAACCAATAGTGGGATCAAGTGAAATTTGACCCCCCTGATTCTTGGGAGAACGGTTGCATTTACGTAAAAATCTACCCTCGGTTATTTATAATTTGTATATGCTTGAGCACAATTGTTAAGGTGTTTAAGAATTAACATATATGTACAAAAAATAATATTTGACCTAGATACGTTGTTTATTTTGCGGGAAAAGGGTGTTAAACTGACAGCCCTTCAGGAAATGCAGTTAGGGCCCTGCACTCCACTATAATGGTCCCAACAATATAAGAGGTAGCATCCCAAGCCACTCTGACATAGACATTAGGGTCCATAGGCAGGGGGGGAGGGTTGAACAAAGTGGAAGTCCTGAAACTTACTATCTGGGCCACCAAGTTGTGCTACAGCATCAACAAATCGTTCATGAAGCTCATTGGTCCAACGCAGACGTTGCTTCGAGGCAAGACTAGAATTGTTGTTGCCTCCACCGGTAGGGTCCATTGAACCGCCACCACAGTCTAATGACTGACTATCGACAGCAGCATTGCTGTGGGCTAAGCTTGAACTGGGAACGCCTTTGGGCTGATACATTTCATTTATCTACAAAAAATAATGAAACAGAGACTTCAAAAGAATTATAAGATTTTCAAAATCAGCAAAACAAATAAAAGAGCATTACTTCCTGAAATTCAACACACGGAGAAGCAAAAGATCTAGTCCTCTTGAAATCGCTCCGATTTTCCTTGATTCCATGTGAAATATTGTACCAGATACCCCTTTTTACATTTATTATAACAATTCTCTGGCCAACTAATTCACCTATACCTTAGTTAACTCATCATTTATTAAAAGTCACTTAACCATCAAAGTATTAAACTTTACAGGGACCCACATGGAACTCTGCGGTGGCTCGAGCACCAACTGCTTTTGACTGGGGAGTTAAGTATTTATAGAGGCAAAAAATGTTGAAATATGATCGAGCAGCCAAAGACTCAGAAAAGGTCAGTGGGTACAATGTGGCTAATAAGGCAGATGAAGCAGCTCTGTATTTCCTTGTGCTGCGGGATCATATCTCCCCTCGAGCAATTTGTCTTTTTCAGATGATACTTTTTACTTTGTTATTTTTCCTTTTTAGTTTCTCATTTTTGTTTTTACTTTCTTCCCAATTTCCACTCTGCTCCAAAACAATCATCTATTTTTTTTCTTTTTTCCTTTCAATGAGAAATTGCTTCTTCCTCAACAACATCCTTCTTACTCCTCTATTAGAGCTCTTTTTCCCCAATGAAACTTCAACTTTCTTCTTATCCCTCTCGGTGGTCTCAATAGTTGGATTTCGCGCGGAGGTGATTCCCCCCTTCCTCTATTTTTTCCTATTTGACTTCTGACACTGAGAGACCAATTAAATATAGTTCAAATCATTTTTTTACAAATTTAGGAACTTTCAAGCAATAATTTTGCAATGAATTTTGATTTTGGAAATGAATTCAGTGTAAGCATTGATGATACTATATCTGTTTTTATGATATGTAAACACCAAGGACAATTATAAAAAAATCTTTTTAGCTGTAATATTAATCATAGTTTACTTGTTAGATATTTTCACCATCAAATTTCAAATAGTTGCACACTATTACTTTGCACCTATAGCAACTCTAGTAAAGGCAGTCGAGAATCCATGACTTTAAAATCCTGAGTCCACCACCGTTGCTATCCAACTTCGCCCTTGTACTCCAAAATTGACAAGTCTATAGTAGTGTACAAGTACAACATTCCCAAGTATCAACAACAATAATAACTGACTCAATTCGAAACTAGTTGACGTTGCCTATCTGAATGTTATATGCTGATTATAATCGTAAATAGACATGGGTATAATAGTCCATTTATGAATATATATATATATATATATAAGGGGTACAATAGTCATTATCTAGTTGAGACTTGAGAGATAGTTTGTTAATAAGGCTGTTAAAGGGTTGTTAAAATATGGTTAACAGAGTTAATGATATACTACTTGTATAAAGGGCCCTTTCTGCCCTTCTTTAATAAAATTAATTACTTTATAGAAAAAACGAGGTTAAGGGTATAAGCTAGGTCATTCATCATCAGATCATTAATATCTCTCCTTATCTCTTCTCTCGCCTTACTCCATCTGTGTAGCTCAATTCAGAAGCTAATCCTTTTCTTCTTAGCTTCTTAGGACTTCTTCAGTGTGCATGCTCATTATCCTCTCGTAAATTTAGAAACTAGAGATTCTTTGAAACTTAACGACTAGTGATTTCATCAGCTGGTCAAGTCACCCCTTGTATCATATCATATCATATATTGCATTTCAGCTTAACACTAATTTTCATGTAATTCTTCTCCAAAATTAAGTGTTTAAATGAAACAATTCAGAGAAGTTCATATCCCAGCTCTAAATTCATTTAAAAGTGAGGCATCGTCATTGTTGTAGTTATAGTCAAGCGGTATACAACAACAACATACCCAGTGAAATCCCACAAGTGAGGTCTGGAGAGACTTACCACTACCTCTTGCAGGTAAAGAGGTTGTTTCCAAAAGACCCTCAGCTCAAGTACAACAGGATATACAAGAACAAAAACCCCAAAATTAAATATATGACAAATTCATAATTACAATCACCCTTATAATTTCACCAGCTATTTAACTCACCCCATGTATCAAACATCACATTTCAGGTATATGTATACACGTAAAAAATAATAATTTCAACCATATATAAACAGTGTAATTTTCCACCGAACATGGTGTTGGTGTTCATCTGAACCCCCTTGGCCCTTGCTAGCTCCACCCCTCTCCAAAGTAGTCAACTCAAGTCATCTACCATAACCCTAAATTACACGTCTAACCCATCACATAAAACATCGAATTAAACCATAAAAATTCAATCTTTTCAAACTTCTCCACTACATAAACACAACACAAAATCAAGAAATTCAAAAAAAAAAAAAAAAAAAAAAAAAAAAAAAAAATTGAGAAAAATTATACTAACAAATGAGCTCATAGAAAAAGATTAATTTCTTACAGTGATAGATAATTATAGCAGATATGCGATCTTCGAATTCTTCACTCTTTCATTACAAACCGATTTTTAAAAAAAAAAATTGAAGAAAAAATTCATATAGAGAAAAAGTAAAGGGGTTGTAAGTAAATAAAATTAGAACTGACCGCGGGCAGTATTTAGCTGACCGGAGTTGAGAAAGACATTGTTGGGCCGGCCCGGAATCTATTTTGTAATATTCCGGCACATTGTGATTATGAATCATTTTAATAAGTCCTTTTTTGCAATTTTTTGGCTTTTCTTTGGACCAGTACTCTTTCTCTCCAATGCTTTTCTTTCATTTTCCAACTTGGTGTTTTTGTTTTATTCGTTTCCGAAGGATCCTCAGCTTGAGTACAATATGTAGGTATGAAAAAAGTGAAAATGATTGTGAAAAAAATAAAGTACTAACTATTAAGGAAACAATAACAATCACAAATTAATGTGATGATTTCGATGGAATAAAAAAAAAGACATTCTAATGTTATGTCTTCGATAATCTGGAATAGTGTTATGTTTTGTCTAATCACATATCTCTAATACTTTTTCAACTATCTCTCCTTGTACCAACTGTATTCAACTTCTTGCACCTCCTCACTGGGACATCTGCGTATCTCTTCTTCATATGTCCAAACCATCTCAGTTTTGCTTCTCTTATCTTTTACACCATGAAAGTTATTCTCACCTTGTTCTCGATATCTTTATTCCTAATATTATCTCTCCTACTGTGTTCACACATCCGTCTTAACATTCTTGTTTTCGCAACTTACATTTTCTGAATATGAAAATTCTTAACGTGTCATAAAATTTTGTTTAGTTTATGAATGAAATGGAGATAATATAACATATCATGGAATGGAGATAATATATAATATCCTATAAGCCAAAGAGAATTCAAACTTCGTTAATTTTTATAACACATATTTATCTACATAGATGATGACTTTATAAGAATTGGTAAAGTTATTTATTATTATAAAGCTAAACAATAGTCAAAAATGAAATTGAATAATTAAATAAACCTTCATTGCATCTTTTCTCTAGAAATAAAATTATTTTTCATGTGCTTTAATTTGTTTGAGCTGTGTTTGGAGTTTCACATGACACATTTGGAGGTGACTAGACCTTTTTTGGCATTCTTTAATTAAAGCATCTCATTAGTGATAATAATAATATTCCCTCTGTCTCATTTTATGTGAGATAGTTTGACTCGACACGGAATTTAAAAAAGAAAGGAAAATTTTTAAAACCTGTGGTTAAAAATGAATGATAAAAATTTGTGTGGCTGTAAATCATTTCATTAAGGGTAAAATAAATATTTTATAATTAAATCGCTACTTAATATAAAAATGTGTCATTCTTTTTGGGATTGACTGAAAATGAAAGTAACTCACATAAATTGAAACAAAGGGAGTAATAATTTAGTGGATCATTCTTACCTTTAATTTAATGGTGTTGTGATCAAGAAGAATATTTTTTAAATTACTTTTTGTTTTCTATTTTATTTCTAGTAATTGTTTAAACAATAAGAACAAAAAGGTTATTTTGTGCTTGTTTTTTATTACAAGAAAAAGATGATATTTCCTTCCCTCAAAGTTGACTAAGTGGCGCTTTGGAATGAGTAGAGGTGCAACATATGAGTTCGACAAAATTCATTAGTTTTGACTTAAATTCAATATTCGCCAAGTATATACAAAATCAAATTCATAAGTACTCATTTAATAGCATACTTAAGATTGGTATTCTAAAATTCAAAACTTGTAAGATTTAAATTTTATACCTATCTCAGATTCACATCCTTAATAGTATTAAAATAAGAATCGCGATAATATTATTGAAGAAATCAGAATTGCCAGTAAGTTACGGGAATCTGATTCCTGTAAAGCTGGCACTAAACAATTAACAAAAATAACACAAATTTTTATTGTGAAAAATCTCTTTGCTCAAGGGAGGAAAAATCACGACTTACAAGATGTAGGATTTCAACAACCATTTTCCACTAACTTCAAAGAGTGGTTTTAAATTACAACTCTATAATCTAAGAAACTAATTCTAGCTAGTACGCCTCAATCTCAACAGTTAACTATACTTGTTATTGCTACTCTTCAAGAAATCAAACTTGTTTCTTGTTACAAACTCCACCACATGCATAACTATTCACTTCAAATTAGGAATTATCACATTGATCAATAATAACCCTAGAACTTGTTCCGGTCGTGAATATTTCATCACTCATTTGATATTCTCACAAAAAATACTATGTAGATATAAAATGGGAAACTTTTTTTTTTTACAAAATATAAATTCGTGAGTCAATTTTTAAATTTAAAAAAAATATGAAATCATGATAAAATTTCTAAAATAAACTTTTTAAATTTTTTATTTTATCTCGCTATTTAAAATCATGAGATAAAATTACATGTCCAAACACCTTCTTAGTATTGATTTTTTTCTATGCAACTAGGTAATATTTTGATTTTGTTTCCATATCCTACTACTTCCATTGATTATGATACTTTTAAAAGCTTCATTTGTTTTCACTTAAAAGGATAAAAGTTTGAGTTCAGTTCTTTAGATTGCTATATATTTAGTGCATTTCTTTTTTTTCCCTTTGATCTTATTTATGCATGTTCTTAAAATCATTAAGATGTTGCACTAAAAATTCTTCCAAAAGTAACCTTGTGCATCACTATAGTTAGTTATTACCATCTAATATCATGATCCACCACCATCATACAATCACCACAAGCTACTAGTATTACA